TGGCTCTGGAGCCGCATGTGGCTCCTTCATCCCTCTGCTGTGGCTCCGTGTCGCCAATTGGCTCCACAATTGATTGGGCTTTTGGTTAGGACAGGTAGAGGAAAAAGGATGCGCTAGGAGGAGACTATAGTGGGGGAACCACCATAGAGTCTGGTTGGCTCCAGAATTGAATAGGGGTCTTCCGATTAGGACCTCTGTGGCTCTTTGCAGCCCTGGTCAAAAGGGACCAGCAGAGATTATACAACCTGAGAGTTCTCAGGAAAGAACCCCTGAATGAAAAACTGCTGGTGACCCCCTGAATGAAAAACTGCTGGTGACCTTCTACCGCTGCACCATAGAGAATATCTTAACTTACTGCACCTTACTAAACCATACTGCACCTGTGTATGGTTTGCCAATTGCACAGGGGCAGATAGGAAAGCACTCCAGAGGGTTAACATCATTGCTCAGTGGACCACTGGTTGCCCACTCCCCTCTTTGGAAGAGCTTTATAGCTCCCACTGCCTTAAGAAAGTTCAAAACATTCTCAAAGATCCATCTCATCCTGGGCACCCTTTTTCTTTTTTGGAACTATTACCATCTGGCAAACGGTACAGGATAATAAAAACAAGGACAAATAGGCTGAAAAACAGCTTCTAACCCAGGGCAATAGTTCTGTTGAATTCTACTGCCTAGTGCAGTGTTAGTGTAGCGTCGGGGGTTTTCAATTCAGTGTGTGGCGTGTGAAGGATGTGTCTTTGTGTTTATTTTCGTGGTCATGATGTGTGCTGAAGATGGCGTTCGATTTCGTTGTGCGAGGTGCAATGACACTAAAACTAAACTTTGAGTGTTTAAGGTTGCCAACCCTTGTTCTAGCAAAACAGCTTCTGAACTACTGAAAAACAGCTCAAACTTTTAGAGGTTCTTCGATGGTTCAAATGATGTCCGAATCTCCCCTCTGGCTGCAAATAAGCCCTTTTTTCGTAAGGAAGAGAGACAAGCCTACTCTCCTGTAACAAGGGAACTCTTCCACCTCCCTGCTTTCCAGACTCGGCAAGCCAGGGAAGACACTGGACGTACCCAGGAGTGGGATCTGACCGGCGCAACCAGTTTGGAGAGCGCGCACATGCGCGCGTCAAACGTGTGCTGCACACACCTGCACGCTACCAGCTCTGGCCAGCATTTACAGGAGGGCCAAACAGCAGACCCAAAATCTCATCCCAGCGAACCTGCTCTTCGGAGCTACCGGTTCTATAAAACCAGACCGAACCGGTAGGATCTCACCCCCCTGGACCTACCTCCTCCGAAGATGGCCTTCTTCCAAGCCTGGGACTCCAGCACTTTGTCATGGGGATAGAAGCCTTGGTCCACCATGAAAAGGATCATCACCATGGCCATCAGGCGCATGGCCACCAGGTGGCCTCCGGTCAAGAAGTAGGTGGCTGCTACCATGGAAGCGCCGTAGGGGCATGGCAAACCCCGGTACATAAAGGGCATCCCTGTAGATGAACAGAAGGGAAGAGAAAAGAGACGCACAAATTCATTGAGGGGCAGACCGTAGTCCTGTGATCCCCCAGCTACACCAAAAAAAAAAAAGAGGACAGGGTATGTTATGTCCGTCACAAAGATCTATTTCTGCCGTTGGGTAGGCTAAAATGTCAGCTGGGCGTGTTGAAAAGCGCACCAATTCCTTTATGGAAAGGCAGCATCCGGAATCTTAAGGAAACACAGCATCGCGATCCCACTTTTCCCCGTTGAAAAGCACGCTCTTAAACCTAGACAGAGCTTGGCCACGACTACTTGTGGCATCCAAAGGTGGAAGCTTCCCCCCCACCCCACATCCCCCCTCCCCAATGAGATCTTTCCCCATCCAGGCTCACCGCTGGAGAAGAAGCACAGCCGCGTAAACACCGCCAGCACGTAGACGATCACCAGCAATCCGTCGAGGAGTCCGTGGGCCTGCAGGAGGAGGCCCGTGGCCAAGCCGAAGGAGGTGAAGTCTGCAAAGTCGTCCAGTTTAGCCCCTGCAGGCGATGCAAAAAAAGGGGCATGGTTAGTCTCCGTCCAAGCCAGGATCTGCCAAGTGTCATTTCCCGAGGATAGACGCCTCTGCTTTCGTTCATTGAGTGATGCCAAAAAATAATAATAACCCTTCTTCTCCAAGCTTACATGGAGTGGAGGCTTCCAGAAAAAAGGACTTAAATATGGGGGGGGGGGGGGGAATCAACGCCTCCTCCCCAACCTGGTGCCCTCCAGATGCCGACCAAGGAAAGGTAGCCAGCTGGAAAAACTGCAGTCTCAAGGCTAAACAGACTCTGTGTTGAGGGGCCAACGATGGCATTTGAGGCACTTAAGACAATGAAATGGGAACCAGGACCTCTTCGAAGAGAAGGAGCTCTTGGCTCCCTAGATAGCAGCCCCAAGCTTTTCGGAAGGACTGAGGTGGCCTCTCCAGTTCTCCCGTGGCTCAGGGAGGTCCTCTTTCTTGGGATTCCCCTGGCCATGTCTGGTTTCCCCCTCGGAAGAACGCCTCTCTTCAAGGACCTCCTACTGCCTAGCTTGGCTGTTTCTGCATCGTCTGGAGGTTGGCCAGATCTTGGTGATCACCAACTAAAGTGAGTTGGAGGTGAAGGGCCCAAGGGGGATGTGGGGAGGGGACTCACCCAAGGCAGAGCAGGCGTTGAGTTGCCTCGCGACGGCTCCGTCGGCAAGGTCCAGCACGAAGCCCGTGAGGACTAGCCAGCACGCGTAGTGGTACTGCCTGGAGGAGGGGAAGGTGAAAGAGGAGGAGGAGGAGGAGGAGGAATAAGGAGAGAAGAGAAAGGGAAGGAAGGAAGGAAGAAAAAGAAAGAAGGAAGGAAGGAAGGAAGGAAGGAAGGAAGGAAGGAAG